GCAGGGCATGCGCAGTGACAATATAGAATCACAAAGGAAGCTTGGCAAGTACTGCTATCTGTTGAACAAATTGGGAACCTATTTCCGACACTTCTTTCTAAAGATATGCTGAAAGAAAAGATATAGCTTTTAATTCAGGCAAAATTAAATTTTAAGTTTGATTTCAAATAAAAGTGATAAAGTCAGTTTCAGACATCTCCTGATACTAGATTTTCTTCAATATACAGCAATGTTATTATTATCTTTACATCTTTGATGAAGAGAGAAATGTGTTTCAGATTTAAAGCTAGAAGTTTTCTAGATTTGAAAATATTTTCAAATACTTTGATTTCAGTTGCAGGAGTGCAAAACATGTTACTTTTCTATACAGGTAGAGGTCATAATAGCAAACAGTTAGATACATATTATTTAATTCGTACTACAATGCTAAATTTGATAATTTGCAAAATTAATAAATTTATACTAGTTCAGTTTATCAAAAACTGACAATTATGTCGACAACTTCGATGTGGAGCCCAGGGAAATTGTAATTTGAAACGATGTTGTCAGCTGCGAGCGACACGGAAAGATAAAGCTGGTCACTGCTCCTATCTCTTCATTGAAAGCAGGCAATGCTGAAAATCCTGTCACTAGATTATTGATTCCGCGAGCATAAGAAATTGCTTTTACCTAATGTAATAATGCAAGAAGATAAAACTTTTCGTTAAATTTCAGAAAATTATTCTCATTGAGTACTTTAATATACACGCGCTAATAATTACTGAAGTCGAAAGTTATTTACAATTCAAGATAAAATATTTAGGAATCGTTGATTGAAGTACTTTTAATAATCTAAACCCACATACAGTCTCACTGAGAATTCTACAGCGTAACTAGGTAATATAGGGAATATATTTGAGAAATTAATAATTATAATGAATAACTGGTATATTTATTTTGGTATATAATTATTAGGATTGATTTTGCTCAGTTATATGTGGTATATGAACGATGGATATTTGTATTTCTTTAGAAAGAATTTATATATTTCGCAGTACTTTAATCTTTCTGAAAAATGCGCTTTATTCAATACAGAAATTGTCAATTATCTGAAGAACAGAATTTCAATAAAGCGTGCAATATTAAACAATGTCATACATGAACTGCACAACTGTGTAAGGAAAAGTAAAGAGGGAAAAAATAAATGACATAAGGCTTTACAAACAAATTAAAATTGGATACCCACTTGGACAGTAAACTTGGATTTCGAATTGAAATTTCGGCAAATGAGTAAAAACTTAAAATAAAAAAATAGTTATGAAGTACGTTGATGACTATATAGTGCTGAGCTTCCGAATATCCATATTAATTAGAATGTAAATGCGCATGGGATAACTGTAACGTACAGAAAACCACAAAATTTTAAGTAATGCATATGTACTCGTATATTGTAGAGACATTAGGTTATTTCGAAGCAGGAGACATGAAAAATGAGCATATCTCTCGCTGTGACTCGACACGCGGACCTCTGAAATATGCGCCGAGTGTGCTGGTGGTTACAGCATAAAGGCATGCTAAGAAGGCTAGAGAAATACCTTATATACTCCCCTTTTAAAGGGCGACTGGTGATTAGGGGACACAATCGCCAAATCCGGGTAGTGAAGAATCATCATCCACCACTTTTTTTTAGTTTGCGTGCCCTGTAAAGACATTATAGAATTTTTCGAAACGAGAAAATCGAAGAAATGAGCAATGCCCTCGCCGGGACTTGAATCTCGGACCTCTTCAATACGCGCCGAGCGTGCTGGCCGCTATACAGCGAAGGTAAAATACCTTATAATATGTACATTAAAAGATTAACTCAGCATAGATTTAAAAATATGATGTGGCCAGTATGTAACCTCCACCCAATTCCATATTTTAAATAGCAATAAGTTTAAAGTAAAGTATCTTTCCCACTTGATCATTTGTAAACGTAATCAAATGTATTGTTCCAATATAAACAGAAAGGTCTGTCATACGAAGTTTTGAAGTGCATTTTATTAGATATAATTGGCTATGTATTAAGCCTTGGTTTCCTAAATTTATATCTACATGATCAATTGTTTGCCACTTTATACAATTTTACTAAAATATTATTTTATTCGGCACACGAATAGCGTATGATTCATTCGGTTGTTAATTAAAGAAAATTTATATATTTAAAAATATTGTTACGGAATGTCCAGCTTTCCCGCAAAGCTGGTTTAGGGTTGCCAGAAAGTGGCAAGAAAAGGCAGAATTGCCAGATTTGGCTCGAAATCGTACATTTAGCGACAAAGTTGTAGCTACGCAATAGGAAGGAGAACATTTCTAAAACGAATTCTTACCTGTGTTCTAGAGAATGCTCTCGAAGGCAGATCAAAAGCTATAATTACCCTGCCTGTAAACGGAAGAGCAGTTTATCGTAAGGAGTATCGTGAGTGTGTTGAGTTCAATACTAATTGCCTTGAGTTCAGGGATTAGCTTGAGAGCGATCGACCGAGTCGGGACCTGTACTTTAGTGCTTTGGCGTGAAGCTGTCTTCTTCGTTATAGTTTAATAGTCTAAAATCTGTGTTGCTGATTGTTTCAGCGAGCTTGTTGTAGTTTTTTGACGATTATAGGGCGTCTATCGAACTGTCCTTTATTATACAGACGAATAAATTGTGCTTTTGGTTCTTCATCAAGTGTTGTCATCAATCACTCCAAATCCACCAAACCCGTAGAACGCAACAATATTGAAAATAAATGCTTTTTGAAGAATACCATACATTAATTTTCTTCTATGTTATTTCTATAATATCAATAAATCTAAATTCATTTTGATCTGTATATATATTTATCTGCACGATATTTAGGTATTAGTAAACAATGCCCGTTAGTTTTTGGAATTAGAGCTCAATAGTGATTACCTTACACTCCGCCATCAGTGAGAAAGAAAGTATAACATGGTTTCTGTTTTGCTTATTTGTCCTTATGCCTCCTCGCCATCAACAGTGCAACAAGTCCTTTTTTGTTTGTTTGTTTAATAATATGCCTGCATTATAAGAGTTTTATAGTTCTAAAAATGAAACGCTGCTATGAATATCATTTTCTTATGCAGCCAGATTTAAGTAAATATCATGTCTAGATACAATAGAAACATCATGCTATATTGTTGTAAATTTAATTCTTAGTGCAGTCATTCTACATTTTGCAATAAAAGTCTCCTTCCAAGTCAAGTATCACTCCAATTTATAATACATAATTGAAACCTTGTACGTTATTCTCAGTTATGGATCGTACATGCATCGTATATTCCTATATGAGTTTTAAATACCATGTTAGAAAAGTTTTGAATTATATCATAATGCATTTTTTCAGAAAAAGTCCATTCAGATCTTTAAGTAAAGTATAAGTTCTGGTTTATTAGTTTTAGTGTGTTGTTTCCAGTGATACTTGATCAAATAACAAAAATATTAAGTTCTGAAATTAAAAAATAAATTATATTTTAATATTGTTTTCCATTAAAAACTTCTCTCGGCTTCAAGTTAAGTACAAAATCCGGTTGTCTATTGAAAACTATTATGGACTTCAAATAAAATGACACTTCCGATTGTTTAGTTTCACCCAAAATTTAATCCGCTTTATATAAATCTAGAAAGCTTAAATACAGAAAAATTTCGAAGCTTGGTGCAAGAGTTATCGCGGTCCAGAAAACCATCATTTAGAGACACACAGACAGAAATAATTTTTAAAATATTAAAATCCTGTAGTGGAAACCCTAATTCCTGCTTATTCACTGAAAACTGAATATCAAATTTTTGGAGCCGAAAACTATATGTAAGAGCTGTCTTACTGAAACATATAGGTTGCTGCGAGGGAAAACGACGTATAGCGAAATGTTTAAATATATTTTTTTTTTTTTTTTTGGTAAAAGGGGTAATAGATATAGACAACATTTTTTTCTAGGAAATCTTTATTATATACGTTCTTTACTCTTTTTTGAAAGAAATGTTGGATGTTGTTTCAGAATTGTGGCACATGCAGGTCAAATCTGCTATGTTAGTAAATACGAGCTCAATTAATTCATCCATGTATCTTAACAACTTCTGTATACATTCCAGTAAACCACAGTATTTACTTTTGTTATTAAGCTTCTGTCTTCAATCTCCTTTCAAGTACGTCTACAGGCTTCTTGTCATATCCAAGAGCACATCCTCAATAAATTTCTTGAATTAATTGAAAAAAGAATAACATTTGGTGGTAATCCTATATATCAGCCAGAAATAGAATAGCTTCGGCAATGGATCATGTAGAGAAAGGATTGTTTGGGAAATAGTCGTCAATGATCAAGTGGCTATCGATTTTTGGGAATAGCCCTTCAGAATAGTCTTTGAACAAAAATAGAGAGAGTATATACTTTATGTAGTTTCGTTGTGTTTTTAATCGCACCCACATCGGAGATGGATCCGAAGTTATCGCAACTGTCTTCTTCTAGCAAATGTGTCAGTAATGCTTGTAGCTTGTTGAATTTTAAGTGTCCTCAAATAATTTACATTTACAAATACTCATTACCAAGTTTATTGATTTAGCAGATATGTTTTGCTAGCCAAATTACAAGGCGAGGTAAAATAATTAAGTGAACGACTAAAGAAAAAGTTTATTTATTTGTTTCTAATGTTATATTTGTTGAATATGAAATTATAAATATGGAACCTTTAAAGTAGATACGTTTTGGAGCAATTCCGAAAAAAGTGATTATAAAGTCTGAGGCATATGACTGGTTTAATTTTTGAATTAGTTTAGACAGAATATTTAATGAGCTGATAAACGTTTACAAAATATCAGAAATAGCGTAGATCATGGGGTTCGCAATCAGTGGTACGCTGATGGTACGCAAGAGAAAAATAAGTGGTACGCAAAAAAAGGAAGATATTTTTAACTATTAAATTCAGAAATTAAAACCTCAACATCCTGATTGAGTTTTTTTCTAACACTCGTAAATTTATGCGATTTGAGCTTTGTTCAAGAGTGGTGGTGATAGTAGAGTGGTATTTTGTAGTGGTTTTCAATTTTTGTTCAGATGGTACGCGTTAGTCAAAAGGTTGAGAACCGCTGGTGTAGATTGATTACACCTTCATCCAAAGTCAAATTACGAAAGAATAAGTGTGAAGCTAATCCACACAACTCTAAACTGAAGCTCTTTAGGTTAGGTTAGAGATATATATATATATTATTCTATTATTTTTTTAATTTTTAAACTTCACAAAATTGTGTATAATTTATATGTATTCTTTGTAACTACAATACTCTTCATTATTCTAAGTGGTACAACCAATAATAATAAGATTTGTATCCGTCTGCTCTTTGTTTCTTCAACAATAAATGGAATTGATAATTTAAACACTGCTTTATTCGAATGTAATTTTTTTGGATTGTTTAAATACTGTACATTAGTTCACTTAAAACTGCTGCTATTAAACAATGATGTACAAGGTTTATATCACAGTGAGCGTGTTATTATTTAGAAGACTTACAAAAAGACAATCAAACATGCTTTAAAAGTGTAGATTTTTCGAATGTTTCCCTTTTCTACAACGTAATATAGAAGCCAAAACTGTAAAATTTATAGAAATAGGTGAATCAAAGGAATATTGAAATATATTTGAATCGTTGAGGAACTCATATGAAATCGGAAGTTTTGTATCTCAGGTATTTGCATTTTATTGAGAGGAAACTGTATGTTTCTCTCTTCCGGCAGAAAGAATTTTCATGCTTTAAGCAAACAGTTTAAGAAGCTTTATATTTGCTTTCAAGCATTTACTAGGGGGAGAAGAGATACTTTTACAGTCAATCAAACTCGATCGCTATATAATGCAAATCTCTTTGTGACGAGAGAAATCCTTCATTCCAGAAAATATATTCCGAACCAATGATTTTTTGTGAAAGAAAATGGCAGAGCAGAAACACATCTATAACACTGTTATATATTTCTTTTCAATGCACAATAAAAAATTCAACATTCGTTTAAGTATATTTTACTACAAAATAGGCAGAAAATACTGCAAAGATTATTCATAACAATCATGGATAATCGAAATATGTTGAACTACTTTTATGCCTGTTTATTAAGTAAAAGATTCAGGGATTAGATGCTTGTTTTTTATCGTTGAGTTTCAGTCAGGAAATTCTATTTCCCAAGTGAATTGTTTATGAATAATTTAAAAAATAATAACTTCTTTTCTGTGCTTTCTGTGTGATATCTCAGCATAATTTATCGACTATAAAGCCACTTACTTTGTCATTTCGAAGAGACATTTGTTCAGTCCTTTATTCTTTTATTTTGGAGTTACTTAAGTGCACAAGAATACTCCGAAAGCTGTTGAAAACCAAGAGATCAAAGTTCAGCTTAAGAAACTGAGTGAAGGTACGAACATTTTGTTTCAAATCTTGATACAGTGAAGTTTTCATCAACAAATGTTACTTAACTCCACCCGACAGAACAGCTGATCCACTTGAAGATGGCGCTTATCAGCCTATTTAAGCCATGTCAGTGATTTTAATTTTGTTCGCTGATATACCAGTACCTTGCAAAATATACATATTATGCATTTTTCAAGTTTCTGGCATTAGATCAGAGACAATATCTGGCAGGACATGGTCTATGGGCCATGTTCTGCCAGATATTGTCTCTGATCTTGGGAAGGTAATTACGTACTCTACTTCCAGTGTCCTCGTTATTCCCAGAAATTTGCCACTGCTCCAACAAAAGAGCCCTAGTGATCGTTTCCACGTACGATTTCGGCCATAGTATGTACAGTACCCGCATACATTCATGTATCGCTACCAATTTGGCACTTTCGTGTGCTTTTTCATTTATGTGTACTCCAGTGTGTCGCGGACCAATTGAAGCTAAGGTCCGATGTTTGTCGGCAAGGAATGTATAATCTTCTTAATTAATAAATGTTACTGCGTATTTCTTCGCATCGAGCAGTATGAGCAGCAACACATACGGTGCTTGCAATCGAAGGTAAAACTGGCCGCCTAAATATCCATTTTTCAGTGTGTGGAAATTTACAACCTTTATTCTTTATACAGTTGCTTATCCGAGAACTATAAAAGACCTGGAAGTCAACATGACACATGCTGCTTAGGAAATTAGTTGCAACTAATAAATCTTTGTATGGCATGATGATACGGCGAAAGTTCCTTCTACAAAAGTTACTGCCATTTCTCTGTATCCAATAATATAAACAATTTTTCCAGCGCTCGGCATATTCCGTGCCACTGGCTGAGATAACTCTGGTACAGTTACTGTATTAAGTAAATATTCTTTCTTAGAGTAACAAAGCACAAAAAAGTAAGGAGTGTGTACGATAGTAAGATTAATTTTTGGAATCAAAAGGGAAGGTCATCCGTCACAGCATTATACCATAAATGCTTTCTAGAGAGCTCAGCTTATTAAACTGTTAAGTTGTCCTCTACTTTTGCGAGAGTTCCAAAAGAATTTCTGAACTTTTTGTGGTTTCAATAAACTACAGTAAGCATCACTTAATGTGATCAGGTTGTCTCACGTCTATTATGTAACAATAACCGATGAGAAAAAAATCCTTCGGAACAGCAATGTAATTAAAATGAATATAAATGTAATAAGAAATGTATAAATTACGTGCTTTCCCAGGATTTTAATTAAAAAAAATGCAAAAGCACTTTTATAAATTTGTCCATACGTTTTTGGAAATTATTTGACCGATTTTGAGCTCTCAAGCTTGATACCTGGAGAGCATCTCTCACTGGAAAAGAACACCTCATGTAAAATTTAAAATTAGGCAAAAAATCAACCTTAGTTTGACGGGGTTGTTTTCAGAGAAGAAACAATTATTCTGTGGATATTTCTTAGCCTGGAGAAGAGGGAACTGTGTATGATCGCTCTCAAAGCAGAGCTATTAAAAAACATTCGTCAAACTAATTTTTTTTTTTTTTTTTTTTTTTTTTTACGTTTTTACGTAATTTTGAATGGCTGACCAAAATCAATATAAATCTGTTTGGCGACTTAACCCCTTACTGCCGCGCAAACGAGATAGTAGTTATGGTGACTCCAACTACCATACTGAAAGGGTCGGAATCGAATCCCGGCGATGTTTCTAAATGTGCAGTGTCTTTGCAACACGTGGAGGCACTCTAATTAGATGGCAAGCAGAAAGTCCTCTTATGTAGCTTGGCGATAGGCGAAGGGGAGTGGGAGACCCTCGGACCCATCGGAATGCTGTTTCTCTAAACTAGGGAGGACTATGCAAAATGGTGCCGTCACCTATACGGTGCGTAAGGCTCTTGCCAATGACAGACGTAATCGTGTACTCCTTGCCAAAATAAATTTCATGGGCTTGTTCTGATTATGAGGTTAGCCAAATGAGATTAGTCACATCCCTTACTTGACAAGATGTCTCTGTCACTTGGTAATTTTTATGGCTTGACTTAGTTTAAAGCATTCGAGAGGTATCTGTCTAAGGGGGGAATGCCTTTGTGGAAGACTTTCTAACGGGAACTTGCTCGTATACACGTTGCACATGGGGATCACCATGAAAACGGACATTCGCCGTTCGCCGTATTCGAGCCTCAGACCGATATACCAGTGTTCAGCTACTTAACCCCTCGGCTGTCGGTGGGCCGACAATTTTTATGGTCTGTTTTGAGCTTTTTTGGCGACTTTACTTCAGTTTGCTAAACCTGTTTTATAATACTATTTTAATCATATTTACTGAATTTTTGATAGCAGTAAGTGATCTATTTCCATGTTTAGAGTATACAAACGGGTGGAACTTCAGCAATTTAATTGCAATATCCGAATAATAACATTAACCGCAAATACATTAAGCGGGGTGTACTGTACTAAAGAAAGATCAACGTGGGACAAAACTGTGGACACAGAAAACCGTCAAGAAACAGGAGTGGTAAACCTAGATGTTACATTTACTCTTTTACCAATTCGCTTTATATGTCTACCATGTCCGTTTATTCTACCATGCCGTTGAATATTTCGTTTTTCACATTAATCTTCTCCCAAATGTATGAACATATTATATATTATATTGCTAACTTGATCTGTGGTCTAAGACATGACGTGAACGGCACACAAATGGGCTGTCGTCTCGCATACATAAATCCTTCGCGAAGCCTTGTAGACGCGATTGACGTTGACACCAAACTTCCGGTAAGAAGATTCTGAGCTGAGTCGGGGAAGCAGTTCTATTTCTTCGTGCGCATAACTACAAATGTTGGTCATCGGCACTCATCGTAGTGGTTGGCCGTCCTTGACGGAACAGCTAGAATGCCGAACTGTGTAGTTAGAAATTGTTGCAGGAGTCTCTGAACAGGACTCACATTTAGCCATCCGATTACTTCTGCCTGACATTTTCCTGCCTCTAGTCTCCCAATAGCTCTGCATCCCATTTCTTTGGGCAAATGATACTTGGACATCATTGTTACAAATTGGCTATTGCGGAGTTTTTATCCCTTTATCACAACGAAATTTGTAGACTTGCTCTGAAACATGCAATTTTATACTCCTCGCAGACGTCGTATTTCGATTGCAGCGCCACTAATTTGCATACTGCAGTTTTACACAGCAGTTCGTTTTTGACAACATATTGCTGCATATTAAATGAAGCTAAGGGAAAGGCCTGGGAGTGTCTCACTAGTTCAAAGCCAGTTATTTCAGATTTTTCCTCGTCCTGTAGCCGTGGCGTAATTTCATCTTCTGACTGGGCACGTTTGACTAGGCCCATCTTTCTAAAATTCGACTTAAGGACCTCTCAGCCTGTACTCTGTAACTTTGGACAGTGTATGGATAAGGACCAAATTGACGAATACACTATTATCTTTTAATTCTATCGTTGTTAAGTATTGGGAAGCAAGATCAAGACTAACGGTTTAAGGGTCAAATATCTGGCAAATGTATAAATAAATAAAAATTAATAATTTGTATAAATAAATAAAATATATATCAGTAAAATTTATCTATAACTGTTTTTTCATTTTCCATGTTACGTTGCATTACGCTAATGAATCATTTATCATGTACGAGACCAGACAAATTCCCAGTTTTCAGAGGAATTCCTTTTCCATGAGTAACACATTGCATACGAACTGGTAATAGATTGAATGCACATGTGCGATAATGTGTTAATAAAAATTTATTTTTATCAAAAGAAATATTTTAGAACTCTCGAATTTTGCATAAAACTATTTGTACAATTATTCGCAGTATCACACAGTATAATAAGTAATTATTCTTCAAACTACTAAGACCGTTAAACACAACGCAATGCAAAGCTCATCTAAAGAGACAGCTAACTCGGATTTATTTCAGTTGACGAGGAACTACAATTCGCAATAACAATAACTAAGCAAATGAGAGCAGATGCTCTCACTTCGGCTTTAAATAATTTTCAACCGACTGCCGACATATTTCTAGTACTTTCTCCTTCTCAAAATTAATGAAAAGCACTTACAAGGTGGAATTACGATTACAGCTAACATAGTGGTCAATTACATTTAATCATTTAGAATACTTATTACGGCGATACAGGTACTGAATCATAATGTTGCCAAATATTTTCCAAGTTCGGCAACTTTTGGCGTTGTGTCGCCTAATTACCGAGATTTCCTTTTAATCAATAATTAATGAACTTGTCCCTGTAGTCTTACTCCTCCAGCATAGCTTCCTTTTAGGTTTTCCATATTACAAAAGAAATACAATAATTTTACTTATAAATCTTCTAAAATGACCTCTCTAAAGATTGTTGCAATGTTTAATTTATCACTTAAGCAGCCTGGCACAATGGGAATTCTCACCACTGTGTACGGTGTAACATGATGAATTTAGATTTAATATTAAGGTATTAGATTGCTTAATAGGATGACAGATTTAAAAGAAATATACATAATTTTCCCCAATTTATATTTATTTTTAAGACAGTTTTTCAAACGAATTTACGAATTTGGTTTACTAAAAGTAGACATTTTTAAGATCGTATTTATCTTTCTTGTCTACGTTATGTTGTAACAATTTATGGTTGTCCTACTAACAAGTTTCTTGTAATTTTGTTGACAATTTTGTCCTCGTTATTACCAAACGAAAGACATCTTTGCCAGAAAGCTCTATTTATAAGCTGTGTTTATAAATAGAACATTGCAACCTTGTATACATTGAGGAGTAGTCGCGAAATGTACATTTGCGCTAGAATAAATCCATGTCTTAACCAATAGCTTGATAGTAATTGCTTCGTTGGAGCTGTAGTAACGAATTTCTAAATTTAGAACTAGTTCTCCAGAAATTCTTAGGTTAGTTGATTGATAAATTTTTCTTCTGTCGAATTAACTAAACAAGAAAGCATTGCATAATTGTATTTCGTACACTTGTTTGATAACACTAAACATTAAGCTAATTAAGATTGAATGGATCTTTAAGCAAGAAATGATATTATATATATATATATATATATATACAACAGACATTTATATATATTACATACATATAAACTACAATATATTATATATATGTATATATGTATATATATGTATGGTATAATATATTATATATAATATATTAGAAAAATTTTTTTTATATAAAATCTCCATAAATTTGAGTTAGTATTTCAAGTATAAATTATTTAGACTTCTTTGTAGTAAAATGTTTTAATAAAATTGATAGAACAGTATTTTAACCCAGAAAAATTATAAATAGTAAAACTAAATTTAAAAAAGTAAAATTTAAATTACTAAAAGGTTGCCATTGTTATTGACCGTAGATTAATTGACTTGTCAAGGGGAACAAACCAATCCACAATCAATTAACAGTAACCAAATTAAGGGAGATTGATTCGTTTTTTAAAAATAAGGGTCAGATTAATTGTTTTGCTAGCGTTAAATTATAAACTACGAATAAAACTCAAAATGAGAAAGATAGTTACCGTGCTAGAGCCGAAATACTTACCATAAGCTAAACCGAAAATGGAAATAGGTAAGATTTTCTTCTTAATTTAAGGTACTTGTTAAGAATTGAATTAACTAAGATACTTACTTAAAAAAAAAAAAAAAAAAAAAAAAAAAAAAAAAAACATTCCCTGACACTCTCACAGTATTTTTTTAAAAAATTAAAAATTATTGAAATCTGAACAAATTAATAAAAAATAACTGAAATATGTACAAAAGAAGATATTTGAAAACAAAAAAATATGTACAAATTAATATATTCTTTTAGATTTAAACGCTAAATCAAAAATTAGGCATTTAAATACTAATTAATACATTTTTAGTTCTGAACGCAAAATCAAAAGATTGACTTTTAAATACAAATTTATATTCCTTTAGATTTATACACAAATTAAAAAACAGTTTATAATCTTTTAGATTTATATGCAAAATCAAAGGTGGTTAGGTATTTAAATACAAAATCTATGCCGAAAAGGGCATAAAAATGAACTTATTTGTTGGCAAAATTTAAAACGAAATGGTTGTAAATGTACATATATTTAGTGATGGAATGTAATATAGGGATTTCGCATTTAGTTGGAGAGAGGGTAGTGATTGGTGACGTGTTGTTACTCTCCTTGAAATATAATAGCGATAAATTTGGAGAGAGAAACTTACTGTTTAGTTAAAGCTGTCGTAAGAGACTTGTTTCTTAGTAAATAATTTTTATCATATTGAAGAAATTAATTTATTTCTGGCTAATGGTCAAAAATGCATAAAGAAGAAGGAGGTATCTTCACTGGTAAAAGGCTATTTAATAGACTGAGCAATATGAAATAGGCCCATTAGTTAATAATAAAATGTAATGCCAGAAAAAACTTGTAATTTGCATTATATACAAAAATTAATTACAAAATTTACAAGTCTTTAACATCCAACTTATTCTGCCTTTTGCAGGTTTTAGGAATAAATTATCATAACCCTATTAGTCAGCAGATTTAAATTAAGTTTAACTGCTTCTTTTTTAGGACAGAAATTAATACATTTATCTGGTACCAATCTATTTTTAAGAGCTTTAATAAGTATTAATATCTCGTTCTGAATATCTAGTGTATCAGTACAAATATTTTTGATTAATTGTACTTGACTAATGATTGTGTCACTAATTACTTTTCTATAAATGTTTGTAAGTTTGTCTAGAAAGTCCAAGTAATTAATTTATTAGTTGTAAATATGAAGTTCCTGGTTTTGTCATAGAGTTTAATCTGTGTGTAGTTAACTGTTTGAAGATTTAGAAATTCAATAACGTTTCGTGAAAATTTAGTTAAGTATAAAATTTTGTAATAAATTTGGAAATTTTCTATCTCCTTAAAATCATTAAAAGTGATGAGATCGTCCATATATCTGAAAGTGCGTGCATAATAAATTAAATCTTTTTGTTGTAGTATTTGTTGAAATTTAAATTCTTGGATAAACAAAAAGATACTACAAATACTAGTCAACACATGAGCTCCCGTTGCTTAAAATCGGTTACTTGTTTAAAAAGTTGATTTCCAAATTTAAGATAATTATTAAAATAGTGCAGTGAAGGACGTTCTTCTATTTATTAAAGTCTAGAATAGTGACGATTGTACATAAGACTTCTTAAAGTTCAAAAAGGCTAGTAAACATTTCTTCTAATGGAAGAAAAGTATACAAGTTTTCAAAGTCACAGCAGTTAGCATTTTGTATGTTGATAGTCTGTAAGGTGTTAATTACAGGAAGGTTATTATTGATAAGCCAACAAAAATAATATTCTGTGTTACATGTAGTGAAGATTAAGTTACAAATACTTTTTAAGTTGTTATGCAAATATACAAATCTACATTTTTTTGGAATTATTAGTGCAATTTGCTATGAATCTGAATTTAATTGCCGTTTTATGAAACTTAGGAATAGCACAAGGTTATATAGCTGTTATATATGAGCATTATAGAAATGTTGAGTTTTTTATTTATTACTGAGGTATCTGTTGTGTTAGTTAGTTGGTAAGTATTGTCGTTGTAAGGTTCTGTGTTCGTCATTAAGCTACTCGGACACAGCAGGTATTCTCACACTTTGAAATTTTCGAAATATGTAGTTTCACTTATTAGAAGTTGAAGCAACACTAATCAGCGTTAGTTTTCAGAATCTGCAGTGCTCGTTTCGAAGGTTTTTATTGCAGAACCTCCTCCTTCAGCTGTAAGAGGGAAAATGACGAAGGACAAGTTTGTGCATAAGCGATCCAGCGAAAACCATAGACTAGAAAATTCCAATAAATAATGAACTAAGACAGAAAATTGAAATAAAAAATTAAAACGCAGTTGCTGGCTCCATCTATTGATGAAAAATTAAGCCAACCAGTTACTGATTTCTTTAAAAGCTGAAAGTACCATTTCTGTTCTTTACGTTCGAGCTCATCTGCTGCTGATCTATTCAATCTTTCGAAATCTGGGCCTTTTGTTGAACTTTCCCCTTCCGTGCTACTATGATTCTGTCAAGACCTGCGGTCAAGACATATTCATGCGAGATCCTCCTTGGGCTTTACTAGGTAGTTGAGCGGAACACGAACGTTCAATGAGCGGAACACGTCGTGCAGCCGCCTCAAGTATCGTCAGATATCAACGCATTATCCATCAGATATTATAATGCTAATATTACTATATATTCTTATTGGAGTATAAGCTTCTTTTAAAGAGTTTATCCATGACTACTTTTAATTTGCTACATTCTTATTGTAACCTTGTTCTTCGAAATTCAATGATTCACAGGAAATTTTCCTCTGGATTTTGTACAATAAAATCCGTTTAAAGAAGGGAGGTAAGCGAGAAAATAAGGTATTTATAAACATGATCCGATTCATTAGCTGCATTAGCATGTTACGTGATTTTCAAGAGCACAGTAGGAAACTAGATCGTTATTTCCGACTTGCATAATTTTATTCTTTCAACAGCGAAACCAGCAAATCCGGATAACATTTTGTGTTGTTTTTCTCACCCGCAATGCACCCTTCTTCTTCCATCACTGCACTATCGTCTTCGTCCAGCATTTGTTTGCACTGCCCACAGCAGTCGTCTTGAACACAATATGTATATATAAGTGTTTTTTTTTTTTTTTTTTTTTTAATCAAGTTATTTCCGTCAGCGGGGCTGCCTGGCCGATATGCTAACTACCCAGTGGACCGGCTGCCTCGCTGTCGGTGGAAAGAAAGAAAGTGCTTATCCAGGCAACTTTGATTGGCACATAATGCTCTGGAAACTGCACTTCTATAAAAAATTGAATTTCAAAATAATAATCTGAACAATAGCACATAAAGCACAAAAAGAAATTTGACCGTAACTTGCGACTTTATAAAAGTCACGAACAGAAGAAAGTGACACTTCGGAACCAAGGAAAAAATAATTAAAATTTTAAGCTTTAGAGGTTTGACTAGTAACTATTAAAAAGCACACTTTTAAATTCCGTAGGCATTGAAGAAATCCGTTGTGCAAGCTAAACAGCTCATTAAAGGAATAAAATGAAGCCAATAAAAATATTCAGTAACTTTCCAGAAAACTCATAATTCATAATATATTTTCATATCGATGATCTTGTTTTTTATTCGTCTGGTGATTGATATGGGAAAGGGTGTGCAGATATTGCTTCTGAGATAAATTGCTAGTATTGCAGAAAAGGTTCTCGATACAAAACAAAACAAATTTTCCTTTCTCATCATTTTTCCTTCTCTGAGTAGCTGCAATGGGTATATTGCAAATGTTTTTGCTTTAATGGGTATAATTTTAATTAATATGCTCCCTTGGAATAAAATAAATATGTGCTATATATGTATTAAAGATTTCTTTACTATATAGCTCTCTAGATCCATTAAAATTAAATGTATATTTCTGTGATTCTATATTTATGTATTTCAAGCAAAATCTTTTAAATTTAATTTAATAAATAATTAATTCACTCGTTAAATTTTCATTCTGTAACCTAATACCGTATTTATTGTTTTAAAAATATTTCATTTCACTTTTAAAATTTAAAAGAACAGAATCGCGTTAGTTATTATAAAACTGTTAAAAAGGAAATATTAATCTTTATGTTCCATTAATGAGAACGACCATAGACACTACTAGTACTTTATTTGAAAATATTAGCAAATTAATTTTATTAAGTCATTTTGTTAAGTCATTTTATTAAGTGCCATTTTATTAAGTTATTTATTTAAAGTGCTTATGCATTTATTCTACTAATTAGAGACTCGGATTAAATTTCATACGTGTGACTTTCGAACGAATGTATGAAAGGAAATGTTTGCTTCAATTAAAATAAGACGATGTTTTAGTTGTATACAAATCTAACGTTATAGTTTTATAAATGCAGGTGAATATTGACTATCCCTATAAGCTTGGAAATATTTTATTTTAAGATTTAAGGCATTTTTTAGATATTTAAGCATTCTAAAATGGCTTTAATTGGACTTATTAAAATATATCGTTACCAATTTCGTGCACACGTAATTAATTTTAGTGAAATTATATGTAAATTTGTAGGGTTTTTTTTTTTTTTTTTTTTTTTTTTTTTTTTTTTTGCATAATGTAGTATGAAAATCTAACGAAGCGAAACTTTGCTATAAAAATAAAAATAATTGTCAGGTTTGTTTAATATCGAGTAAATGGCTATCTCGCTAAACTAGCGAGTAATCGCCAAGCTGGCGATGGTTTAGGAGACTAAATTGTGTCATCAAACTTGGCAACATTTTGATCTGGTCCATGTGTAACTGTAATGGGTGTTGTAACTGAATAACTGTAATTGACGCTATATCTAGCTGTAACCGCATTCGGCTCTCATAGGTATTTTGGAAGCAAGAGAGATGAAAAATGAGCAACGCCTTGTCCTGTAATCGAACCACGGATCTGTGGAATACGCACCCAGTGTGCAGACCACCACACTACGAAGGCATGCTAAGAAGGTGGGAGAAATACCTTATAAGATATCCAGATTTTCATATGAGATTTCGGAATATTAGAATATTGGAAAATTAGATTACAAGAGAATATATGTTAAAATAGGAGAGCTGTCTTAAAGCAGGGAACATTTAAGGTCAATTCAACCAAATATACATTAACTTCGGCAAGTCAAATTCATGTCTCACAGAATTCTGTAATTTGGCGGCAGGAAGCAGTACATGGAAAATGGAAAATATTTCTCAGCAAGGAAATCCGCAGTTTGTTTACGCTGAAGGCAATCCTCACTAATCATGCGATGTAATTAAACCTCTTCCTCGCGTAACTGAAATATGCTTCAAGATTGGACAGAAGATCAAACGATAAAGAGAGCGGAAGACTTAGAGCTAACCGTTTGTAAATTAACATAAATCTTACAGTTTTACAAAGAAAAGCAGTTTGTTTCATTTCACCTTTTGAGGCAGCGGAATCGTATAAGATGATTAGCTATAAACGAATTAAAATTTATTATTTAAATATTTTACCAAACATTGTGTCAAACTACTATCCCTGTCTCATGTATCTGGCTGCGGACAACCAATCAGCTGCCCTACATCGCGGCGAAAATCCAGCAGACAGACAGAATGTGTGGCAGACGAGAATTGTCTGAAGAACTTTTTGGTACGGCGTTGACGCATAAACTCAAATTTTGAGTTTAGCCAGCGTGGCTGATTAAATTTGTAGGGTATTAGGAAGACCTGAGTTTAAAAGGAGTTCATTTCTTAAATCATAATCTATCACTATGTAAATATTTTGTACATAAATATCGTGTTTCTGGAAATTGTTAAATTTACAATCACGTATTGTGTCACTCATCCCGAAAAGCACCACATCTTGTACTACGTTTTTATTCCTAAAATAATGTAAATGGTGATAATTTTTTTATTAAACAGAAAAAATATATTTCTAAATTAAAGTAAAATTATATTATTAGGTTAATAACTGAACTCAAGAAACAAATCCATATAAAAATTATATTTAGTGGCGGATAACAAACATGAAAGTTTTATGAAAGCGAATCAATGGAAACTGAAGCTTTTTAATCCGGAATGCGATTTAATGGAAAAAAACGTTACCAACTGGAAAGAAAGTGACCAACCGAGAAATTAATCCACTGCTCTGAAGCAACTGCTGAAGCTTTGATCATTCATTGTTTTCCTTTGTCTCTTTTTTAATGTTTGAAAGCAACGCTCGAGGTTCAAAAATCATACCTAATATTAAACTGCTGCCAGTCACGTACTATTTATTTCTAGTTATCTTCCAAATTATAACAATGCTTTTCTCAATAACTGTAAGGAAATAAATCAAGGACTGTAAGGAAATTAATTTAATAATCAAGAATAATCAAATGAAAAATTAAATTTAGAAAAAGGGACTTAACAGTTTAACAGAAAGTAAATACATCAGATATACAGATGTGTATGTAAGGAAAAGTTTAGCAATCTCAAATAATGTATTACGTTGCGCAATATTAATTAAGTAATCAAAAATACTCAAATCAGAAATTAAATCTGAGAAATGGGGCTTATATCTTTAACATAAATTCATTTTTCGTGTAAAATTTTCATTTTTGTTCTTTGATTGAATCTAGAAATAAATTATCCAGGAAACGAGACTCTTTAAAACAAACGTAATATTTATTTAACTTAATACAAAATAAGATATCCTAAACAAACACACACACAAAAAAAAGAAAAAATAAATAAAAGTAATGGCGGCCTCAGCTTCGTGCGACCTAAGTCAATACTGTGTTTTCTGTAACAGTTACAATATGGCCATAACCGCATGGTTATTTGTATAACAGTAAGCAGCTTGAGTAACTGTAACTTCAGCAAGAAATATTGCACCGCTCCACAAGCAGCACTCCACTAACAGGAACAATATTTATGCGGACTTCCACCAATCTCCTTTTACTCTTCTTGGTATATTTTTCACATAGTCGATAGTCGAGGAGTGACATGGGTTTGGAGTGCACAATATTTTATATTTGTAGTGATTTACTGGCAATTTTTCTTTTATTTGTAATTTCACGAATTTATGTTAGATTTAAACTGAGTACATGCGCTACTGGACCGAGACGCAAAAAGACTACTTTTTGGCTCCCGTGAAAAAGGCAAAAGGCGCTAAATTGCGCAATTTGATTAATGTTTGGTATACCTAGCTTGGTATATAATACAGGGCGATAATATTTGGTGATAGCAATTTGAAAAGTTATACAACGCATTTAAGTGTTGCAGGACTACCCAAGACTGTTTCAGTACTGTGTTTTAAGACCATTTGGGTCTAACATCTCTTTTGAGCTAAAATAAAAACGAATAATGGAAACGAATTTAGGCATTTTATTTTTAAATAATAAACTAATGGAGTAACGGCATAAGTCTTACAGATAGATTTCATACAGACTCTGGTAAATGTTTAGAAGGCACACAATTAAAATGAGTACGCAGCGGCAGCGCCAAACAGGCGATACGGACTTAAAAACTGTACAGAAAAGCGCCAATTGGCGAAACAGTAAACCCGTTTGGCAAACCTACAGGCTGACGGGGAGAGAAGAATTTTCCCCGGCAGTCAAGTGGAGCTACTTCAACAAATGTGTGCGTCTCTGCTTCGCCGAGATATGTGAACTTGTGTACTCGCATCTGTACTGTGCTCTGAATTTCTTAAGCCGTTATAATGTACCCGGCAACTGTTACTTTTCCTTATTAAATTTGATTATTAATTGTAACATGTCTATCTTAACTAAGATTTCGGCTTTCCTAGTTAATGTTAGGGATATTTTCGTATGCACGTGTTACTCACACGTACATCATTGGTGACCCTGTCCCTCGCTCCTTCTGTTTCGATCCCTAATGACTATCTGTCTCAATCTTTGTTAAAAAACTAAAAATATGCCTTATTTTGATGCCAATGCTCTTCCTTTATGACTGATAAAGGCTCCACCCTATTTTATTTCCTCCTCATTTTATCGTACGGATTACACGTGGTTTATCACACTTAAGGAGGATTTACAGGTATGTGGTCAAATTTTTTTAATTATCTGTGATTGGTCTTAATTATGTTTTTGTGATATGTTTTGCTCTAAAATTATAGTTTTAATTTAATTATTGATTGTTTAAAATTGATCTTTGAGTAATATTTGTGCTCACACTTTTATTGAGATATTGAATGTCTTCGTTATTTTATTCTAAATTGATACTGTTTTGATAAGGTATAGTGCAAAACATTAAGTTTACGATTTACGATATATTTATAATTGGCAACCATGCCAGGATCGGAAGGCCAAACCAACGAGGAATCGAATATGGCGGTTCAGGAGCCACAAATCTCACACGTGGCAGTTAAAATTCCCCCTTTATGGAAAAAAAAAATGTTAAACTTTGGTTTATTCAAGTTGAAAGTAACTTTGCTTTAGCGAAGATTAGTAGCGATAGTACAAAATACAACCACGTGGTTTCTTCGATAGACCCTGAAACTCTTTCCGCAGTATCAGATATTTTATTTAATCCCCCAGCGACGGCTAAATATGATGCCCTTAAAGCTAGGTTAATAGGAGAATTCTCAGATTCGGAAAGCGAGCAAATACGCAGACTTATTTCTGAATTGCATTTAGGGGACGACAAACCATCTCACTTATTGAGAAAAATGAGAGAATTAGGTGGAAACTGTATAACTGACGAATTTTTAAAATCATTATGGCTGCAAAGGTTACCTTCCGAGGTGCATGCCATTTTATCAATAAGTTTCGGAATCCTTAGACAATTTAGCAAAAATGGCTGATAAGATAGCTGAAGTGCGCACGCCAACGAACAACAGCGTGTTCGCGGTCCAGGCAGCTTCGGCCAGTTCCCCCAGAAACCCTAACGATTCTGGTGCCCCCCTCGAGGAGCTTAAGGCCTTAAGGAGTGAAATCTCTGCCCTAAGTAAACAAGTCGAGCGACTCTCCCGCGGAAAAAAAAAACGAGGAATAATTTCCCCCGGGATCAACATAACAAAGCACGTAGTTTTTCGCGTGGGCATTCCCGAGAGCGTGTGAACAATTATTGTTATTTTCATTCGCGATTCGGTAGTAATGCACGAAAATGTCGAGCACCTTGTTCCTTTTCTCAGAACACTACGGCCCAGGAAAACTAGTAGTAGCGGCTATCGATCGAAATTCATCGGCAGTCGCGCATTCATGTCGTTTACATGTTTACGATAACAGATTAAATTTAAACTTTTTGATTGATTCGGGCTCGGATGTTTCATATGTGACACCGACTTCTAAGTTTAAGGAAAATGCATCCTGATTCGCTTCAATTATTTGCCGCGAATAATTCCAGAATTTCTACGTATGGAACAAAATTGTTAACTGTGAGTTTAGGACTTAGACGAAACTTTTCTTGGAAGTTTTTAATCACCGATGTACCAGTGCCTATAATAGGAGCCGACTTTTTAAGGCATTTTGATCTTTTAATCGATTTAAAACGAGGTAGGCTTATCGATAATACTACGAAATTAACTCGTATTGGTTCTCTTTCCGATTCTAAAAATTATTTTTCGGTAAAGTTAATATCTGGTGATTCACCATATCACAGAATCTTGAAAGACTTTCCGGAAGTACTGAAGTTAAAATCCGATTCGGGTAGAGTAAAAGCATAGTACGGTTCATTACATCGAAACAAACGGTCCTCCTGTGCACAGTAAACCGCGTAGGTTAAGCCCTAAGTTATACGAAGCAGTAAAAAAAGAATTTCAATTTATGATAGATCAAGGTATTTGTAGACCATCAAAATCAGCATGGTCATCACCTCTTCATGTAGTTTCTAAAAGTTCGGGCGACATACGGCCAGTAGGAGACTACCGAAAACTAAACGCGTGCACCGAACCCGACAGATACCCTATCCCGCATTTACAAGACTTTAATAATACGCTTAGCGGAAAGACAATTTTTTCAAAAATTGATATCGTTCGGGCATATCATCATATACCAGTCCATCCAGATCATATACCGAAAACTGCAGTTTGCACCCCATTTGGTCTTTCGAATTTCCGTTTTTAAATTTCGGACTGTGCGGAGCAGCTCAAACCTTTCAAAGGTTTATGAACGAAATTCTTGGAGATCTAAAATTCGCCTACGTCTACTTAGATGATATTTTGATATTTAGTGATACGGAAGATGAGCATAAATCTCACCTACGTACTGTTTTTGAAAGATTAACTTCATATGGATTGACAATTAACGCTTCGAAATGTGTTTTCGGCGTTCCGGAAATATCTTTTTAGGCCATATAATCAATAAAGATGGTACCAAGCCTCTGACGAACAAAGTGGAACCGATACTTAACTACCCACTTCCTAAAACGGTAAAAGATTTGCAGAGATTTTTAGGATTTTTAAATTTTTACCGTCGATTTTTACCCAACGTAGCCCAGAATCAAATACATTTAACTTCGTATTTAAAAGGGGCTAAGAAAAATGATAAGACAATCCTGAATTTGTCTGAGGAAGCGCGGAGTGAATTTCAAAAGTGCAAACAGCTAATCGCTAATGCTGTTCTTTTGGCACACCCGAAGAAAGATGCCCAGTTGGTTTTCACAGGTTGATGCGTCAGACTTCGCGATCGGTGGAACGCTATCACAAATAGTTGATAGAAATTTACAGCCTCTCGCATTTTTCTCACGAAAGCTTTCGCAGGCGGAAAGGAACTATAGTGCGTATGATCGAGAGCTATTGGCAGCTTATGCTGCTATTAGGCATTTTAAGCATATGTTGGAAGCACGGAACTTTTCTTTAATCACCGATCACAAACCGCTCACGTATGCATTCCGACAGCGTTTGGATAAGTGTTCACCTCGTCCAGGCTAGGCAGTTAGACTTTATCTCACAATTCACCACTGAAATTCGCCATATAAAAGGTTCGGAGAATATCGCTGCCGACGTACTTTCGCGTATAGAAGCAATAAGCATGCCTAACCCTATCGACTATGAGGAAATCGCTAAAATGCAAGAAATCGACCAGAATTACAAACATTGCTTAAAGAGTCAAAAGTTCTACATCTCAAAAAAGTTACCTTACCGAATTGTAGCTTTACCGATATATTGCGATGTGTCAACAGGTAACGCCCGTCCTTACATTCCTCCGGCATTCCGTGAGAAAGTTTTTGCCACCTTGCACAATTTGTCTCACCCCGGCATTCGCGCATCAACAAAGTTAGTATGTTCACGGTTTGTTTGGTCTTCCATCCGCAAAGATTGCGCGAAATGGGCACGGCAGTGCATTCCGTGCCAGAAAGCAAAAGTAAGCAGGCATACTAGAACCCCGTTAATGAAGTTTCCAGACCAATCACAGAGGTTTGATCACGTCCACCTTGACCTTGTTGGTCCCCTACCTCCTTCTCAAAATAATTATTACTGTCTAACTATGATAGATAGATTTACTAGATGGCCCGAAAGCAGTACCCATACCAGACATAACAGCACGCACAGTAGCACAGGCTTTCTATGACCACTGGATTACTCGATTTGGTTGTCCGACTGTTATTACTACCGACCAAGGGCGACAGTTTGAAAGCGGCTTATTTCGAGCCCTTTCCCAATTATTGGGAATCAAGAGGATCAGGACGTCTCCGTACCACCCACAGGCGAATGGACTGATCGAGGAATTCCACCGTCCTTTGAAAGCTGCCTTAAAAGCGCACGATACCAGTGACTGGGTGGCTGCCCTTCCAACGCTGCTGATGGGTTTCCGCGCCGCTCTCAAAGAGGACATAGGAGCAACCACTTCTGAACTGGTGTATGGAAAGACTATCCGTCTCCCAGGAGAATTTTTCAATCCGACACCTACGGACACTTCCCCCAAACAGTTTGTGGAGGATTTAAAATCTCACTTTGCCAGTGTCCGCCCGACCACGACTTCTAGCCACGGCCAGCGAACATGTTTCATTCATCCACGCCTTCACAAGTCCACATATGTGTTTGTTCGACACGACGGAGTTAGAAAACCACTTCAAACTCCTTATGATGGACCATTTAAGGTGCTAGAAAGACGAGATAAAACGTTTGATCTCGAAATAAAAGGGACTAAGCAAACGATCTCCATAGATAGACTGAAACCCGCTTTTGTAACCATGGACTCTTCTCAAGTTGCTTCCAAGAGTGTGAAAAAAAACTTCGGACATTTGTATCACCCGTTCTGGACGATTAATCCGACCCCCGCATCGGTATGTCACATTTCGTTGACACTGCGGAGGGAGTATGCAGCGGCAGCGCCAAACAGGCGATACGGGCTTAAAAACTGTACAGAAAAGCGCCAATTGGCGAAACAGTAAACCCGTTTGGCAAACCTACAGGCTGACGGGAGAGAGAAGAATTTTCCCCGGCAGTCAAGTGGAACTACTTCAACAAATGTGTGCGTCTCTGCTTCGCCGAGATATGTGAACTTGTGTACTCGCATCTGTACTGTGCTCTGAATTTCTTAAGCCGTTATAATGTACCCGGCAACTGTTACTTTTCCTTATTAAATTTGATTATTAATTGTAACATGTCTATCTTAACTAAGATTTCGGCTTTCCTAGTTAATGTTAGGGATATTTTCGTATGCACGTGTTACTCACATTTCGCCACACCCCAGTAAAAAGAACTTTTTTTTAAGGTATTCAAAGGTTGCACACTGGTTTTTACACTACAGTTATCGATACGCAATTGGCTTTCAACGTCGACAATAAATCACATCGAAGCGATGACCTCGCCAAACAGACGAAGATACAATACGGATGTGTGGCGTCGGGGTCAACGAAATCCTTTTTCAAGGTAGGTGACTCTAAACAAATTTTATAACTGAATAAATGAAGGGAACTTAATTCAACTATTTCATATGAAGTAGACTATGTATCAAATTCCTCTGTATTATAGATGTTTGAGGATCCTGCATATAAATTGCTTGCTGCAGTCTGTGATTACTTTAACCGTTAAAAATCCAAACCTTGGCTAACTTGTAAGCTTAAAAATGTCGAAAACGTCTAACCCCATCCATTACTCGTCCAGTCCGTTTCCTCCTCTTTCCGTCCATTAACGCACAAAGAGGTGTGAAATTTTCAAAAGACTTCATTTCTACTTCCTAACAAAGAAGCATCCATTAGTCTATTAGAATAAGCTGCAGTAAAGTGATACAATGCATTTGGAGAAAGTGCACCTGCTACTGCATACCTTAGGGGCAGGGAAGAAAACAACATATTAATCGTGACAGTTTCGGTTGCGATCGTTTGAATGAAAGGATGCCTCGGGCATTTTGGCCTTTAAAGGGCATAGCGGGAAAAATTACTTCATGTTCTTAGAGCTAGAAAGGATGCCTTCTAATCAGCCCTGAATCCAAGATACTGCCTCTTGACGATTTTTAACTCTGTACCCTCTTAACCATCTAAAATGACAAATATAAATAGATTTCATTCAGCGGTTCCTTCCATTTTTATGTCATCAATATAGCTTCTTATAACTACCAAACTTTGAACGCACATATTTTTCAGTTCAAGTTTCAGTCTAAGACAAGACGTGGCCCAGCTTTGTATTTAAGTTAAATAAGGCATAGATATTTACAATTATGAAGTTTTTATGGAATGCAGGTTTTTAAAAAATTTAAATCTCTCTTGGAATTTTTTGGCTCAAAACGTGATGGACGAATGGGGTATTAGTCTCGAAACGGCATTTTGTGCTGATTCAGTATAAACGGTGAATCACTTTTGAAATTGCTGCCATCAAACATTATCGCCCTGTATTATATTTAAATACATTAAATAATGAAGAATATGCAATGTAATTGAGTTTCTCGCATTGCGAATAAAGAACAGTATCTAGAGCTGTCCAGTTTTGAATACCCGAACATGGACAACTGAAAGCCCAAATTTTTGAATTTCGAATTTGTTTTGTAATATATTTGATATATTAAACTTTAACGAATTTTTTATTAAGAAACTCAACGATTTCAAAACGAGTAGTGACAACACAGTGTACGAAACAAAATATATTTTTCTCCAGCTGGCGAGATTGTGTATCGGAAATTCTAAAATATGCTGTTTTCAAATATTTTTAGTCCAAATGCTCTCAAAACGCGTATATGTCAGTGAATTAAAGAAAAAACGCACCTTTGGGCGTAATACAAAATCTGAAAGTTTTCAGATTTTTTTTATGTACTTTTTAGGACTATTTTTTTTTAAGACTGGAGGATTTTATGATGGAAGGGCTCACTGCTGCTCAATTTTGCTTTGAAAATAAACGCCTTGTATTTTTTTTTTCTTTTTGATGTGATAGCAAAATCATGTTACGAGAACCAGGATTCCTTCCCTCGGGAAGCTCTCGATCAAAGCTAGGATGGAGTTTATGAAGATAGCATTCATATATTTTTCGCTATTCAAATATATCAGTTCATGCAAAATTACTCAAAAAGCAGTTCTAAGATATAAATTAAATGCTGTGGATTTTAATTACGACAGACATTATGGCCATTTCCGTCAACAAACAAGGGAAAGTGGATGGGTGGTTACCAAATATCCAAATAGTCAGAGAATGAAGACAGTGCCAACTACAGAGAAAGAAGAAATCAAAACGTAAATATTAGAATTTTGAAAATGTTAGAAAGAACTAGGTTGGAATTAATACCATTAACTAAATTAAGTAAATTTTTATTAATATGAAGGTGTAAATCGAGGAATTCTAATTTACCATTTCAGGGTGCATTGTGGATAAATTTAGCTGAACTAAAGTCGAAATTTTAATCAACTTTTAAATGTTTATTTATTTAACCTTTTCGAATATTGAATTCATGTTCTTTCACATTTTTGAATTGTTCTCAGATCTCTGCTTGAAGCAGTCATTATTTTGTTTTCTTGCATCGGGGATTTCTTTTAAGGGGGCTCATATACCTTAAACCCCTTATGCTCTTCGAATATTTGACTGTTGCAAGAATTGGGATATTTTATTTATTTTAAAAGCAATTACTCCCAACCTTTTACAGCTGACTACATAATACAGCTGTTTTGGAAACTAGTAATCAGAAAGTTTGTGTTGCCAAAAATATTTTTGTAATTTAGTCCGCTTTGTGACAAAATGTTTCGTCATGTTTCCACTTTGCGCGCATGATATTTTAAAAATGGCTAATGGTACATACTTGAAATTTAATGGAATTCTTTATATGGGCACTATTTTCTAAATGAACCAAAAAATCTGATGAATATTTTAATATTAACAAATTTTAGGCACGAAAATATTACAGATTTTTTTAATAAAATACATTTTATAAACTTAACTCCAAATAAAATAAAAAATTAACATGAAATTCTTAGAATTTTTGGTTCACAGTGGTTTCCAAATGTTATGAAAGCTATATCTTAAATATGGAATTAAATTATGCAACATAATGTTTTAAACTGTGCTCGCAAGGTGGAAACATGGCGGAAAATTTTGTCATAAAGCGGATTCAATTATAAAAATATTTGTGGCAACACAAACTTTCTGATTACTATTTCAGAAAGCATCCATATTATGTAGTCAGTTGTAAAAAGTTGGAAGTAATTGCCTTTAAAATATATAAGTTATCCCAATTCTTGCAACAGTCACATATTCGAAGATCTTATGGGTTTTAAGGTGTACGAGTCCCCTTAAATTATTTCTAATCCAAGTATTGCACGTCATATACGAAAAGTACTTAAATCAAATGTAACTTAAGACGTAAACATAACCATTGAAGAAATCTGAATCCATTTAGAAATAGCTTAGTAACACCAAATAATATTTTTTTCTTGTATTTAGTTTCCCACGCAGTTTAAACGTAAACTTAGTTTCTGTACTCATGTTTATTCCAAAATTATTTCTGTTATTTCCTTTGTAGATTCTATTTTTTAAGGTTCTAGAGCTTCTTTCTCTTTGATAACATAAACTATGAAAACTCTAAGACGTGAACGATTTATCACTATATCCTGGAAATTACGCGCCTGTAAAAGATCCATTTATTAATTCAGAGAGTATAACAGGAGACACTGCTTGTGCTTAGGCAAACAGCCAGTATTTATGATTTAAATTAAAAGCAAAGAATTCAGTTTTATCTAAGTAAATTGTAAGGTAGAGCAAAGGCTGCACATACAGAAAAGGCGCATGTTTACTCAGACCTGATATCGGCGTGACAAGCCTAATGGTAAGAATAACGCAATGCCTCAGATAAACTGCTCTCGAGAGAATCAACTAGTAACGTGGCCTTCATGAGAACATGCTCTTTCTACCAGCTACAACCTTCCTTTAAGTACACTATCTCTTTCTGCCTCATCTCAATAAGCATGAACCCGAAATTAGCATTCTGGCAGGAAAATTGGAAACGAGAAAGGCAGTAAGCTAATTAACATAAATACCTGATTAATAAAAATTAATGAATACTCTACAGCAGTGGCGCCCAACCTTTGGCTTCTTGCGAGCACATTTTGGTATATCGCGAGCACATTTCCAAAATATAAACATTTCTGTTAAACATATTTCCAATCTTATATGATAAATCTGAAATATTAATGGCGAATGGATTTGAGATGAATAATAATATTGGTTAAACTTTATAGAAATCAGAGAAGTGGAGTTCAAATTATTTTTCAGTGCGTTTAGGTTATCCGAGTATTTCTCTGTTTCAATTGTCTTGTGGTTATTAATATGACTCGATAAATTCTGAAACTGGGTTAAATTTGTTTCTTTCATCTGATTTATCCACAACTTTATCTGAAAAGCAGTTACAGTTCCACTCAATTGAAAAAGGGTTTTTTTTTTTTCTTTTCCCTGAAGATCTTTGTTCAGTTTGTTCAGTTTAGCTGTTATATCGATGAGATAATACAGATCGGATAACCAATAATTATCGTCCAATTCTTTACAACTTTCGTTTCCGGATTCCCAAAACTGCTTTATTGACGAAAGAAATTCTACAAACCGTTGAAGTACTTTTTCCCTGCTGAGCCATTTAACATCGGAATGAAGCAATAAAATTCTATGTTCGCTATCAAGTTCATCAGTTACCAATCAATTATTTTATATCGTCTTGCAAGATATCTCTTATGACTATAAATGCTTACCATATTTTAACAATTAAGAAATGTAAATGAATAGTTATTTTTAAAATATGTTTTGTTCATAGTACCTAATCGGGCTGGTGAGCACATACAAAACGATCGGCAAGCACAAGGTTGGGCACTATGTCTGCTTATATGAGATAAAGCAGACATAGTACACTATACGTTGCTTTATATTTTACACTTAAGCCACAGTTTTAAACCATTATCAACCAAGTGACGTGCGATTAAGCCCTCTGAACATATGCAGTTTTGTCGAATATTTGATTTAGTAAATGAAAGCAACTCAGAGCTATTTTCATACTTTTTCTATGTAAGGGAACCCTTGATATTTTCTAATGTTAAATTGATATGATGACTGCTTGCACGAAAGCAATACACTCTAAGATTTGGATAACTGCTTAAATATGGAGAAAGTTTCACTTCCCTTTAGGAAGTCCTCTTTAGGAAGTAGTAATCTTTAGTCCCTTTAAGAAGTAACCTTCCCAAGAAAATATGCCTCAGTGTTAGCCGATTATATGGGTCACATTTTAGGAACGAAAATAATGAAAATAATGACTCTGAATGCGGTATTTGCTATTAAATTTTAAAGTATTTTCTGTAGACTTTATAAGAGAAGTTCAAAAAATGCATGCATCCAATTTCGAGATCGTTTCTGAAAACGTTTGAAGTTACTGATGAATACAATTAAATAAAGTTCACGAATTAGCATTATTT